CTATTTACTGTTTAGCTATTTACTATATACCTAAAATATTAACTATTGTAATTTTCCTATATACGATCTTTCAACAAAAAATATATTCTAATTTTACCCTTATTCACTTATATTTATTATTAATGTATAAAAGACTGTATTTTAATTTACTATTTCATTGTAATATTTCTTTATATCTTTAATTAAAAATATATATATCATACTTCAATATTCATTTTTAGATATGAAATATATAATTCAAAATATATCTTTCATTGGATCTCTTAAAAAGTTTTGGATAAAATAGAATACAATTTTTGGATATAATTGTATGTTGAGCTATTATTTATTGCATATCCTCTTTTCTTTTTTAGGTCTCGTCTCTCTGTGGTTCATCTTCTTTACACAATCGATTCAATATCAGATTCTAATCTTTTCCACCTTCATCTCTTTTAGTTTTAAAAAATTCTGGTCTAAACGATGCTTATATATTTGGTTTTTTTCCTATTTGGACGGAAATTTCAGGAAATACAATTCAGATCTCTTAAGGGAACGGTTCAGAATCATAATCCAGAATTTTAAACATCACTGGAATGTCAAATGATGGTAACCCATGTATGCATTCAATTTTTGCCTTTTCAGGTTAGTTACTCTTGGATTTATATTGGTATCTCTTGATTAGAAACTCAAATTAAGTTCCGATTCAAATTATATTCTCAATAAAACCACAACCCTACCAACCTATATTTAATAGAATATGTTTTCGGTTGTCAAGAAATTTGAGTTTGTCCTTAAACAATATGCAGAATCCTTTGTAACAATTGAAAAATTCTTCTCTTAGTTAAGTAAGCTGAAGATTTCTGTGAATTGATGAATATAATTACCAGTAGTTTAGGAACAAATCATTTTTTGAGCCGGCTATTGTGTTATCGTTTTTGATAGTTCATCAATTTGGAAAAGTAAAACAAAACTCATGGTAAACTTAATAACTTTGATATGCTAGGTGAATTGATTTGCACACCAATTTAACCGTGTTTAAATAAACCCTATCTAAAACACCAAAATGTTAAAAATGAATTTTATAAGAAAACAGAACTTATCTAGGGTACAAATAATTTTTTAAATATTGACATAATACTTTGAATTGCAGCAGAAGACACCTCATCTGTCGAGCCATAGACTATTGTAATAATTCTTCTTCCTAACCGATGAAGACTCAAGATGATGAATAGTGAGCGAGATGTTGAAAACAAATAAAAATGAGATTGAGTTAATGGATATTTAAAATAGAAAATATGGTTTGTAAGACTGTTTTACTCTGAACGTGGGTTCATAAATAGTGGGAACAAATTTTCAAGAATTAAAGAGGGATTTGCACAATTAACCTTTTTATGATATTATTTTCTACAAATACTTTTTCTAAGTGTCCATTTTCAAAAATATTCTCTTCAATGTATAAAATGACTAAATTACCCTCATTTATTATAACATATGATGAAGAAATGAATATTCTTTCCACCAAAAATAATATTTCTTCCGAAAAATTTCCGGTCAAATTTTCCTGACAAAAAATTTCCTGACAAAAATTTTCCCGCCAAAAAATCTCCAAAAAAATTTTAGCCAAAAAACTTCCGCAATTCCTTAAAAAACCTTTTAAAAACTTTGTAAATATTTTTAAATCTCTTAAAAAATCCTTTAAAACCCCTTGTAAATCTTTTAAAAGTCATCCAAAACCTTTCAAAACTTGAGTAAACCTTTTAAAGTCATTGTAAATAATTTTATAACATTTATAAACACTTGTAAATCCCTTTAAACCCCTTATAAGCGTGATCAATCCTTTAATAAAAACTTTTGTATCTTCTAAAACCCTTTAAAAACCTTTGTAAATCCTTAAAAACCATTTTAAAAAACTTGTAATACCTTTAAAAAAATTTGTAAACCCTTAAAAACCTTTGTAAACTTCTAAAACCTTTGCAAATCCTTTAAAACTATTTTTAAATCTTTGTAAATATCTTTCAAAATCCTTGTAAATCCTTTTAAAACCATTCTTAAATCCTTGTATGCCTTTAAAACACTTATAAATCTTTTTAAAACACTTATAAATCCTTTTAAAAAACCTTTAAAAATCCCTATAAATTTTTAAAATCTTTTAAAAATCCTTGTAAATCCTTTAAAACTGTTATAAACTTATAAAAACTTTTAAAAACCATTGTAAATCATTTAAAAACCATTCAAAAACCTTTGTAAGATTCTAAAACCTTTTAAAAAAACATTACAAATCTTTTAAAAACCATTTAAAAACTCTTGTAAATCCCTTTAAAACCCCTTGTAAAACCTTTAAAAAATACTCTTTAAAAATCCTTGTAAATCCTTTAAGAAAATTTGGCAGGAAAATTTTGTTAAACATTTTTTTTGCGAGAAAAGTTTTGCGGAAATTTTTTTGGCGAGAAATTTTTGGGGAGAAAATTTTTTGAAGGAATATTCCTTCCTTTGGAAAAGAATATTCTTTCAACTATGGGTAAAATGACCATTAAAATTTAAGAGAGGACAAAAATGAAAATGGCAAAAAAGAGGGTAGTTTTGCAAAAGGGTATCATAAAAAGGTTATTAATAATAATTTCTCATAATTAAACTGCCTATTTTTGAGGAAGTTATTCTCACGTAAGACATTTTTTATTTATAATTTTTTAATTAATCTTTTAAAATATGAAGTAAAATCTATGTGGCATAATATTATTGGCCATGTGACTTGTGGTTTATAAGATAAAAGATTCTTTATTATTTCTTACTTAAATAAATTGATAATAACTATGTATTTACTAAAAAAATTCTAAAACTATTTGTTAAAAAAAAAATCAAATACACAATAACTTACATACAAAATATACATGTCAAATTAAAACCAAATAATATACAATATATGCATATCTATACTATTAAAGCTGAAGTATCCATCAAATTTTCATTAAAATTTTCAATTGAAATAAAATACACTTAATCGGATATATCATTTTCAAATCTTTGGGTATGGATAATGAATCAGATATTTCTCCAGTAAATTATATCATTTCCATATTTTTGACTCTCCTAAAATATTTCTACCTAATTTAATATTATATACATATAATAATTATTATTCTCCTTTCATATTCTTATGATCCTGTTTATATTTTTATTTATTTTATGACACTAAAAATATAAATAAATAAAAATAGAAATTGTTTTCCGCATATGTTGTAATTTGATTTTTTTCAAACGGACATATATATCTCAATCGATAAACAAAGATGGTTGTAAAACGTCCCACATCGACTATAAAGTTTTAAAAAATAGTTCATAATCATTATAAATAGGACTGGTATACTTCAACCTACGAATAAACAGAAAGCTTGATTTCTCAAGCGTCCAAAATTTAAAAATTTTATTTAGTTTAATTCGGTTCTTTAGTTGAGCAAATTAAAACTTTCAAAAACTTTCAAAGTATTATAATATTTAAATTTTTAAAAGTATTATAAATATTGGAACTTTAGAGTATTTAGTTTTAAATATTTTAGCTAAGTCATCAAATATTAGTCTACTAAATGTTTCTAAAGATATTTGTTTTTCAAGAAATATATTCAATTACACAATAACATACAAACAAATTATACATGTCAAATTCAAAAACATATATGTAATGTTTTTTTAACTCAAATAGGATTTTAAACCGGATTACCTACCGGGTCATCGGTCACTAGGCTAACCGGGTTTGTCAATAGATTAAAAGCTTTATTTATTTTTATATAGATTATGCAGTTTTATAAATAGAAAAATAAAAAATAACCATATCATGTTAAACAAAATATGTAGTCTAACAATAATAATAAATTACTTAAATTTTCAAAATTTAAATAAAACCAAAACAACACTAATAATACATCAAGAGTTTATGGTAACCAATTTTAATCGTATGTATTATCGTTTGAGAAAGAATACAAATATTATGACTTCTAAGATCTGGTCGGTCCAATTGATTCATATGGTCGTGGGTTAACGACAATTTTTATGGTTCTTTCAGTCATAATATTACCGGTTATTTGTATTAAACCAAAAACGAAAAAATATCCAGTTTCCGAGTCGTAGATTAACCAGTCAAACCGACCAGTACAGTTCGGAAATGGAAACTTCTGATTTATCAAACAATTACAATATGAGAAATAAACATAATCTAAAATAAATATATATTTTTGAAATAAATACAATTATAATTTATATATTAACTTTTTGAACTGATGTCATCCGTGCAGTAGCACGGGTTATCCTCTAGTTTATATTAAAATCAAACCTAATATAAACATGTTGTTTACTTTTTATAGTTAAAATATACAAATCAATACGCGCTTTAATCTCTATAGAATTAAAATTAAAATATATAAGTAAACACGCTATTCTGTGTATCTAAATACTACTGGATACCAAATATTAATACAAAATCGATTAGTATATTATATTTTAGTCATTATTTAAAAACCCGTCTTCTGTGCGAAAGCACGGGTCATCCCCTAGGGGATAACTTTATTTAAATAATTCATTTTTATTAACAAGGGTTGAGGTAACTACCGTGCTCGATATGTTTAACGGTTTTGTCGAAACATAAGATATATAAGTACGTATATTAATTTACAATTGTACAATAATACACACTATTCTATTTATCATATAGTTCAAATTTATACTATTAAACACCAAATATTTATAGCAATAAATATTTTAAGTTTTTTTTTTAAATTGCTAGAATAATCTACGTTGAGACCATTTTTCATGCATGTTATGACAGATTTATTACGAGAATTTGTTAGAAATGCCCCTTGTGAGATACACATTTTTAAATATACCCCCTTTCTGCCATTTTTACTTATACCCTTCTATATTTTTTTAAGACAAATTTACCCTCAGTTATATTACCTCTTTCTTCTCTCAAATCCCTAAAGCAGCGACATCTTCTTCTCTTGACGTTGTCGAGCTTCGCTGTTGTCCAACTTCCCTGTGAGATCTCGTTGTGAATTCGCTCATGCTCGTCTCTGTGAATTCAGCCGACGTTCCTCGTCTCTGGTTCACGTGAGCCTTCTTTGTGTTGCCAACAAACAAAGTTGTCGTCATACTTGTCCACTTCTCCACTCAGCTTATCAGACCTAAGCTTGGGGTTTGTGAATTACTTCCTCGCTGAGCTATGATCGTTTCTTCTTCTTTGCTTTGTGATGTTTGTCTTGAGTTTGATACGAATGCATTTGAGCCTTTGAGGTACAAGTTTCTGTTGATATCTAGGAAAATAGAAGGATTTAATGAGCGCAGATAAGGTGTTTCGTAAATTGCCAAAGAGAAAAGCTTATTGTTTTATGAAAATTGTTGTTGGCTAATGGATGAGGGAAGAGAATTTTCTATGACTCAAAACCTTCTTAATAGCTTAAGTGATTGTTTCTCCATTTGTTTAATTATCAAAACTCATAATCTTTTAACACCAGCAGCAGGAACAAAGAAGAGAAACTTCGTAACCCTTCTTAGCTTCAATCAAAAAGTCTCCTTTTATAAAAGATTTCAGAAAACACCAAAGTCGAAGCAAAGAGAGTGTTCATAGGAGCAGGATGCAACAGAGTCGTCAATAACGTCTCTTGGGGAGCTTCGGGTCTCGTCTCTTTCGGTGCCAAAATGCTGTTGCTGTTTTCTGCCCAAAGGTCTGCTTCTTTCACTCCTTTTTCTACGATCCACCCTTTCAAATCCTCCTTTTTTGTTCTTTCAAAAGCAAGATATGACTTTTACTTGTTTTGTGTTCCTTTTTGCAGACTGCCCAGATTGTTACTACACTTCCAGATTGTTTTATGTTCTTGATTTAGCGTTTTCAGTATCTTGAATCACGCCATAGGTAATTGCATTGCAAAGGAAGATAACTTTGATGTTTATCAGATAGAGAACTTGACTGAAGAATTTTACATTATTAGATAATTCTTTACAGTAGGCATTCCAATTCCTATTTATAGTCTTTATCAACTGTTTGGTGGTTTAGTTGCTGTGAAGGGTTAAACTTTTCTAGAACTTTTTGAATTTAGATTTTATGAGAAAACATCAGATGGTTAACGATGTATTGATGTGATAGGTCGTTGTTGTTCTTCTTGTCTTTGTTCATTGGTGTTATTAGCTGCGATCTTGCCGAAGCTTCGATTATGTTAGTGTTCGTTGTAGTTGTGATCTCGTTGGTCCATATGACTACCAGTTTTCAGGTTTTGTCATGTAGGTTTGCATATAAGATTAAACTGATTTTGATTCCTCAATGCATATAGTAGTTAAATAGTTATGCATAATCAGTTATAATAGCTTTGTTCTCTTATCCTAACATGTTCACTGGCTTCCACTTTCAAAACACTACAGAGTTGTAGTTACATGTGTTCTCATCTTCACTCCCAACTTCCATGTCTTCGTGAGTCTCCACACGTCTTAAGAGACTTGGAATTAAACTGAATTGAATTTTTTGTTTTTCGTTGATATTGATAGGGTGGAATTGATGAAGTTGAGGATCCAAGAGCTGCAGTCATGGGAGAGCTTGAAGAAGGACTGGAGCTTAGATTATAATACTCGCATCCATATTTGTTAAAGCGAGACCAAGTCTTTGTGTGTGTGTGTTGATCATGAAATATTAACTAGTGGAACATAACTACTTGTTGCATCATAGCTGTATTCTTGTTTGGTTTCTAAAACCTTTTAAAAGCATGTCAAAACTTTATAATATCTTATAAAAACCTTTTAAAACCTTTGTTAAAAGTTTTTAATCGATTTTACAATATGTTGTTTAGTGTTAACGAGAAGCATATATAACAATTTCATGTAAAGTTTTTGAAGTACTTGTTAAAGCTATATAAGTGTTTTGTAAAACCTTTTAAATACTTCATAAAACCTTATAAAATCCTTGTAAAAGCTTGTAAAACCTTTTAAATACTTTTTTTTTTTACAGCAAAACCTTTTAAATACTTTGTAAAAGTTTTTAATTAATTTATAAAAACCTTATAAAAACCTTATAAAATTTTTGTAAACCCTATAAAAGCCTTATGAAACTTTTTAAATAGTTTCAAAAACATTAATATACATTTAAACACCTTATAAAACCTTTTAAATACTTTGTAACACATTTCTTAAAACCCTTTTTAAAAACATTATAAAATCTTTATAAAAGCCTTGTAAAACCTTATAAAAGCATTGTTAAACTCTTTAAATACTTTGGAAAACCTTAATATACATTTAAACACCTTATAAAACCTTGTAAAACTTTTTAGATACTTTGTAAAAAAAAATATTAAAACCTTATAAAAAGCCTTATAAAATCTTTATAAAAAACCTTGTAAAACCTTATAAAAGCATTCTACAACAAACCTTATAAAATTCTTGTAAATACTTTTAAAAAACCTTTTAAAAACCTTATAAAAGCCTTGTAAAACCTTTAAAAAAATTAACAAAACCTTATAAAAATCTTGTAAAACCTATTAAATACTTTGTAAAACATTTTAAATACTTTTTAAAAGCCTTATAAAATCCTTATAAAAGCCTTGTAAACCCTTATAAAAGCTTTGTAAACATTTTTAAATAGTTTTGAAAACCTTAATATACATTTAAACACCTTATAAAACCTTGTAAAACATTTTAAATATTTTTTAATACATTTAAAATACTTTTTAAAAGCTTTTAAAAACCTTATAAAAGCCTATAAAACCTTATAAAAGCCTGCAGAAAACTTTTTAAATAGAGAATTACTTTGTAATATCTTTAAAAGATTTTTATAAAGATTCTAAAACATTTTTAGGAACCTTATAAATATTGTTTTTGTAAAACCTTATAAGTGCCTTGTAAAACCTTTTAAATAGTTTTGAATACCTTAATATACATTTAAACGCCTTATAAAACCTTGTAAAATCTTGTAAATGCTTTGTAAAACATTTCTAAAAACCCCTTTTAAAAACCTTATAGAAGCCTTATAAACTCTTTATAAAAGCTTTGTAAAACCTAATAAAAGCCTTGTTAAACTCTTTAAGTAGTTTTGAAAACCTTAATATTCATTCAAAAACCTTAAAAACCTTTTAAATACTTTTTTTTTTTTTTTTTTGTCATCTTCAAACTAAAAGATCGACTCAAATGAGCCAATCAGACGGAACATTGTTTACAAATTTAGCGATATGCGGGTTAACACGAGCTCGTCGTGCCAAACTATCCGCTTTTACATTTGCATTTCTAGAAATAAGAGACAAAGAAAAAGACTCGAATTCTTCCCTATCAACTTGAATATCTGCCAAGTAAGCAGAGAACGCCGGCCATTCACACGGAGAAGACACCATCTTCACCAAATCGGAACAGTCTGTGTAGAACTTCACCTCCGTGAAGTTATGTCCAATCATGCAACGCATCGCCCATACAAGTGCTTCGACTTCAGCATGTAGAGGAGACATACTTCGTCGGATTGTCTGTGCTCCCATAGTTGTCGGTACATCTTGTGTTTGCGGGCAATACCATCCCAACCCCGCATACGGATCCGTATTCTTCCAGGAACCATCAACAAAACAACAGGTCCCGTCAACGTCAATGTTTAACACTCTAGTTTCCCCCAAATTCCG